AGTTACCAAGTTATAAACTAACCCTGGCGAAATGGACAGCAATGCTCAACGGGTCTTTGCTGCGCAAATATTTATAATCGCGGCTATGGAAGGTGGGCCACTGGTTTGTAGGCACTGCGATTATTTCCTAAAACACGTAACTTAATACCCAGCGGCACCTAGAGCATTTCGTCACTCCTACCCCGTAGTCTTGAAGTGTGTGCAAATACTTCAGTAATATGCGCCTGGCTTCTTCATATTCCCTTCTAAACAATTAATCACTGTTAAGTGCATTGACTATGCGATAGATCAAAAGCGTCGTTACCCTTCGTTAATATGTTTAGTCGCGAGGTTGATTCCAAAGATAAGTAAATTATAATTATCCGCATATTCGGCACAAACTCTGATCAGGCATTCGTTGAGGACCCAACGATCGTCTGTTATATTTGACTAAAACACAGACCGTATACAACGCAAAAGCGTAGTCAACGAGCACCACATTAAAAAATGTTACAGCCTCACCCTCATAGCGCGCCATTTAACGTCTGATAGAAGTCGAAAGCCTGCTTTACCTTACTCTAGTTTTTACTGTCATTCAAAACGACCAGTCGAGGAGAGTTTAAGCTAGCGGTTCTCAAACGTGCAGTGACAGTGACTTTTAGTTCAGTTTTCCTGTAATACAACACTTTCTAATTAATTTTATACGTTATATAACGGGAAAAATATGAAAGATGCGCCCTCATATCACTTGTTTTTCTGCTAGCGACTGCAGTCAAATTCTCTTAGACACATAACTGAACTGCGTGGAGGTTAAACAGGTGAAGTTTCTTAATTTCTAGTGGCGCATACTTAACGACAACTAACAAGAAAGTCAACTCGGTCTTCATTTTGTAGATGACGAGCAATGACTAAATCACTTGATCGCATTAAAGGACAAAGACAGCAAGTCATGTTCTTTCTGGCTGCTAAATTATTTGCGATGGCTTGCCAAGAGGTCAAAACATCTATACAGGAACGAACAAAGCAATTTATCACCAAGTGAACCTATAAAGCACCAAAAGAATACCAGAAACCACTTTATGCTGTTTTTTCCGATCGAACTGTGCCGCCATAAGTCCTTGTAAATGACGTCAGTAGTGATGTGAAACTGTTTGGCGACGGCCATAGCGCCTTCATAGTCCTTCTTCGACAGCTACCAAGTAACATGGCAGTTATACCGGCTGCCGCAGTACATCAAACATTAACGCATTCTTACCTTCTTTTGCAGCAGTTCCTCGGCAGTCAGCTCGACAAGCTCCCACAAAGTGTAGGTAATCGTACAGGCAGTTTTTGACACATCCTCAGCCGCAAATCCGAAAAACATCGACGTCATCCACTTTAGAGTACGCAACATTAAAAGGGCGATCTGTCGTCTGGATGATTTTTGAACTCTGTTCGAAAATTTCTACAATATCAGCAACTCAGCGGCTAAATAAGACTCATTAAAACAAATACTGCATCCATCAGAATGCTTAAATTTTGGTATAACGGCGTATAAGGGTTTTAACTAAGCTATTAGCTTTTAACAGCGAACCGAATAGCGCATGAGAAAATGATCGGAAAGTAAATATGCACGTATGTGCCCTAAGTTCCAGCTATTTTAGAGCTTCTCCTACACTGCTTCATTTCTTCGACTTGAATTTCAAGCTTGTCTTTCACATTTTGGACAATTGCACTATGCATCATAGTCATTTTCAGCAAAAAATTGTCATATTTAAGGCCCTCAAATTTTTTTCTAACATTTGAGAGTAGGCCGATTTCTGATAACTTGTAACTGAGAAAAACCAAAATCGTAAAACCCAAGCTTACTTCATGAAGCTGCTTTCAGGAAGCTAAATACGTCTAGCTAAATTTAAAATAAGATACCAGTTAGGTGAAAGACCTTGCAAACTTATTTGACTGTTGACGCAGACCGTACTGTAAGCTTGGATCATAGCTGACTCGCGCATGATGAGGTCACAGTAGCGTCACTATATAAAACCTTTACTCCGCTGTTATCGAACTTGTAGGCGTTTGTAAGGTCTATTTTAAAAGTACTTAATGTTCTTTTGTTCATGCTCAAATGCTGATGCATATACCTGACAGAGTTTACCAGACTATTTTTATCATACATACATAGTAGTTCTCTCAACCTTGAGAGTTTATCTGCTAAACAGCCCAATTTACAAGCCGTCTGTTATGAAATGTGTTCGTCATTTAAATTTCCTTTTTTAAACAATACGGAAAACTTGTAAACTGACCATGAACTGGACGAGGTCAATATTACCGTGACTGATCAGCAAAGAGACATGACACAATTAGTGATCAAAGAATCGCTGCATATTTTTAGCGACGTGTTACAGCATGTCAGTTCATTGCGCATCCATGGATCAAAAAAGCTAACTGCCTACTACAGCAATATCGATTAGTGCCATTTGGTCAATCCTTTTCGGTTTTTTCACCGTTTTCATGAAGAAAGACAGTTGTGATTGCTCAAAACGCTGTTTTGACACAAAGAGCTGCAACATTAAACGCATTCATATCGTATGTTTAATGAATCCAGCTTCTGAGTTCAGCCTTTATCATTCTTTTCAAGTTCCTCGGTCTCATGCAGGAGCAGATGCCTACCTCATAACAACTGTAGAAAAGAGTCTAAAAAGCGAGTCTTACTTCCAGAAAAAAGCTGTGCCGAGGTTGGTGTGCCGATGCAGAGACACATGAGTGGAATTTGGCACGACGATGATCCATCGCAGTCGTATCGGCATCGACAGACTGGACGAAAACCGAACCGGAGGTGTCGTTGATGATCAATTCCTGAAAACACACCAATGGAAATCACCAGTTATGTGCATAACACATTAGCAATCTAAACTCAAGTCAACTCAGCACCGTACCATTTCAGACCACCAGTGTGCTGCTGTGAATAAGGCACAGTTCGGCTAAAAAAGAACACTAAAAGCGACAGCGCCCCTAGTACCATAACCTCACCTCTGCCTCCCTACGAATGACGTGCTGAACATGGAGAGATGGAAAGGTCAGAATTCGTATGTCGCAGAACGACATCGTACAAGCCACCAAAGTCCGCGATTCGTTGAAACACGCATACA